CAGCAGGGCATTTTTGTCATCGTTTGTTCTTGATGCTGCCTTGATAGTATCCCAATGTTGAAATGATGTTCTTTCTATAATACTTGTACTGTTTTTCCCCCCTTTGACTTCCTAGATTGTCCCACTTTGCCAAACCATTTTTTTTGGTAGTTCTGGAGGATGGAGTTTAGTCCTGTGGTATTTCCCAAACATTTCAGTTGTCATCTTCTCTCAGCATTCCAACCCAGGGAAGCATGTGTAAACGTTACTGGACAGCCATGGATTCTTGTTGGATCCTGGCAGGCCGACGTGCCAGATACGTACAACCCTGAAGCAGAGAGCCAGTTCAGTGTTGGATCACCTTCTGCCAGGACACAGCTCCTGGTAACCCCGATGAGCCTCTGCCATCAAGTAAGGGAGCCAAACGTAGAGGTACAAAGGCCCACAGCAAGCTTATAAAAACAACGACAACCTCAGTCAGCTCTTACAGGCCCCAACATTTGCAAGACCTACTCCGCATAGACATTTTGGCAAGCCAGCAGTCTGCCTTTTGAAAACCAGCACCCAAAAAAAAAAAAAAAAAAGATTGGTACACCAAAATCATTATTTCAAATGGTGGTGGACCACAGGGGGCAGGAGGAATGAATGAGTGTAGTGATGTTGTGTGTACACATGGGCCATATGTTGTTGGCCTGAAACCACATGAGACTGAATTCAAGGAGGAACAGCAGAAGTCTTAGTTCAGTCTGAGTGAAGTAGTTGCCTCAGGCAACAAATGCTAGGATGTGGTCCTTAAGATGCTGGAGAAGGAAGCGTTCGGCTGTGCAGGCTTGAACTTTCAATAAGAATGCACTGTATCACTTTTGTTGTTGCTGCTATGTCCCACTTTTAAGAAGAGCCAAGTAGGTTTTATCCTCAATGTTTTCTAATAAGTAAGTGTGTGCTATCAAGTCAATTCTGACTTATGGCAACCCATTTCAGAGTTTTCTAAGTAGAGAATATTCAGAAGCAGTGCATCATTCCCTTCTTCTGGGAGCATCCTGGGACCACCCAGCTTGCCCAAGGCTACATAGGCTGGCTCTTCTGTGACACTGTGGGCAGTCAAATTCCCAATCTCTGGCACCATGGCCAGATACCTCCCTCACTGAGCTATCCAGCAAGCTACTTATTTTCTAAGAAACTGAAAAATTAGGCGTTCATTTTATTTTTATTTTTCATTTAAAATCTATATTTATAATTTAAATAAAAACACTGAAAACATTTTTAAATTGTGGTTGTAAGTTTTTCGGGCTCTTTGGCCGTGTTCTGGAGGTTTTTCTTCCTAGCGTTTCACCAGTCTCTGTGACCGGCGTCTTCAGAGGACTGGAGTTAGAACTCTTTACTTCCTGTTTTGTTGTCAGGTTATGTATTGGGAGAATACAAAAATCTCCTCAAAATGCAATGTTTCTTCCCGTTAATAGGAGATGGGCCACGCCCTTGGCTGCCTGAGCCGTATCATCTGCAGTTCTTATTGAGTTTTTATTTGAACTGCAAGGTCAAAGGGGAGCAAAGTTCATCCTGCAGGATTTGCTCCCATTCTCTTCTGATTCACAAAAAAAAACCCTTCTCATCAGCGTTTGCAGGACTGAGAGGCTTCATCAGGAAACCATCACAGGAAAACTGATTCTTTCATGATATTTCCTTTGGCCGCAGCGACCGCTCCAGTTCCAGGACCTAAGATTTTTGGAACTCAGAGAACTGGGATCAGAGCCTTGTCCGTTAGGAATAAAATAAACCACTGCCAAAGAATGTCAAGCAACGTGGCCAGGAAAACTTCTACTTGAAGTCTATGAACTTTTGTACAAGTCAGCAGTGTGCGGACATGACGTTGCTGATTGGCCATCCCCTTGCAATGTGCCCTGCTTGATATTAGAAGAAGGGGCCAACCCATCAGCAGACCTGTTCTCGGATGAAGCTGACTGGGCTCCCGCTACATCTAGTGGTGTTTCCAAAGGGTTCCTCAGTCTCCCTTACACTGAACCACTTCACCAGCTACCACTACATAACAACACACCCAAATCTTTACCGTCTCTACTGAAATCCAAGTCCAGGTTCCTATGCCAACATGGAGCAAGTTTTGTATCATAGTGTGGCTGAAATCTAGTAGTAGTCTGCAACTAGAGTGGACCCGTTGAATCACTGGAAGATATGGAGGAGTTAAGTCACCATATCCCCACTGGTTCAGTGGGCCCACTCTAATTGTTGCTTACTATTGGATTTACTGTTGGATTTCTAAGGGACGCGGTGGCGCTGCGGGTTAACCGCAGAAGCTTCTGTGCTGCAAGGTCAGAAGACCAGCCATCGTAAGATCGAATCCACGCGACGGAGTGAGCTCCCATCGCTTGTCCTAGCTCCTGCCAACCTAGCAGTTCGGAAGCATGCAAATGCGAGTAGATAAATAGGTACCACCTCAGTGGGAAGGTAACGGCGTTCCATGTGTAGTCTCACTGGCCACATGAGCACGGAAACTGTCTTCGGACAAACACTGGCTCTACAGCTTGGAGACGGGGATGAGCACCACACCCTAGAGTCAGACACAACTGGACTAAATGTCAAGGGGAACCTTTACATTATTGGATTTCAGCCATTGTTTCCTTTGACTTCTGAAAGGATGGTTCAGCCATGTGGGTAGCCGAACAGGAAGGCTATGATAAGACCTGCTGCCTCCCCAGACAGATACTCGCTCCAAGTTGTTGTTTTTTTAAGGCAGGCTGCTCTAGCCTGATTGTGTCCTGATAGCCTTGCTATTGGGCTCATTGGTAGCCTAACCTAGCTGTAGTGACAGTGTTTCAAGCAATCATTGCATATCTTAGGAGTCCCCGAGAACAGAACAATCCCTTAATCCTGTATGTCTGCTGTGGGAAATGCCCCTTAGAATCATAGAATGCTTGATTTGGAAGGAGCCTCTAAGACCATCGAGTCCAACCTCCCATTCAGGGCAGGAATCCAAGTCAAAGCAGGCCTGTCAGAGGGTTGTACAATTTTCTCTTGAACATCTCCAGCGCTGTAGCACTCACTCATTGGTTCCATTGTTGTACTGGGCTAACAGTGAAGATGTTTTTCCTTATATTCAGACTAAATCTGGCTTCCTTTTGTTCCTATTATTACATGTCCTGCACTCTGGGATGATTGAGAACAAATTCTGCCCCTTCTCTGTATGACGACCTTTTAAATATTTGAAAAGTGCTGTCATTGAACTAGTCTTTTGTGTAAAATGCATCCTAATCCAGTAGGTCTGTAGATCAGCTTTTCTGTGGAAAAAGAAAGAAAAGGAGTCGTGAAAAGAACAAAATATATTGTATGTTGTTGTTTTTCTAAATCTGTTTTTTATTTTTTTAAAGCTTTTAAATTTATTAATGGATTTCAAAATTATGATTGTGTATTTAACTGCTTTTTAATTACGATGGACAACGGTTGTGCCAGAAATAATATTGTTTTCATGTCAGTTATTGCATTTGGGAGTATAAAGAAATGAAACATATGCATTATGTTTTTTAAAAAGGTCTCGTTCGAAGGGTCTCCAAGGGTTGACATGACTCTTGGCTTCCACATCATAACAAACAATTCAGGATGTGGTAACACGTTAGCAAGCACTGGATGAAAATACTTTTATTAAAATATTGGCTTTTGAGTTCTTTTGTGTGGAAGAACTTGTGAATGATTTGTAACATGAGTTTTTAAAATGTCCTGTTCTACCTCAGAATTTCTTGTTTCTGATTCTGTTGCCCATCATAACCCATGGTGAGATCACAACAGCTATTATGAGCTGCCCGCTCACAACTTGCGGATGATTCTCATGATGTGCCCTAAGTATGCCCTAATGAACTTACTGCTCGTCATTAGGAGAGAGAAATCCTAAAATGTTGAGCTTTTCATTTCATAGAATTGCCGTAGGGTTGGAAGGGGCCTTGGAGGTCTTCTAGTCCAAAACCCTGCCCAAGGCAGGAGACCTCATACCATCCAGGACCTCCTACCATCTTGGACAGATGGCTATCCAATCTTTTCTTGAAAACCTCCAGCCATGGGGCATCCACAACATTGGGAGGCAAGTAGTTCCACTACTTAATGGTTCTCACCATCAGGAAATTCCTCCTTATTTGGATCTCCCTCTGACAAGTTTCCACCCATTGGTTCTTGTCCTACTCTCAGGTGCAATGGAGAATAAATTGATGCCCTCTTCCCTGAGGCAGCCCTTCAGATATTGAAAGACTGCTATCATGTCCCCCCTCAGTCTTCTCTTCGTTAAGCTAAACATACCTAGTTCTTTTAGTCATTCTCCAGTCCCCTTATCATCTTTGTTGCTATTCTCTGCCCCCTTTCCAGGGCCTCAGCGTCTTTTTTGTAGACTGGACACAGCACTCCAAGTGCGGCCTCACCAGCGTGGTATAGAGTGGTTCTATCATTTCTCGTTATCCTTATGCTATCCTGTTGATGCAGCCTAGGACTGTGTTGGCTTTCTTGGCAGCTGCAACACACTGCTGACTCATCCTTAGGCGGTGGGCCACCAGGACACCTAAATCCCTCTCACAGGTTGAGCCAGGTACCACCTGTCCTGTACCTGTGCATCTGGTTTCTCTGCCTACGTGCAGGACCTTACTTTTCCTGCCACTGAACTGCATCTTATTGGATAAGAACATTTGTTCTGTGGTTTGCAAATTAACTTGTTTTGTTTTGTGATTGGTCATGGAGCAGACAAGTACAGGCTTTGCTTGGAGATACGGTAGCTCGGACATCAAAGTGGGCCAGAATCCTTCTGACGCAGGAATGGAATTTCAGCTTCTAATGATGTTTTGTCTTTAGTGTGTCATTTGGCACTGAGTTGTTGAGAGGATATGGAGTGGGGGGGAAGGTGAACAAATTTACTCCTTTTTAGTGCATCCTGAAGAACATCCACTGAAGTTGAAATCTAATTATACCTCTTTCTATTAAGAGGACCGACCTAGTCTGTTGCTTTAACGCACCTGCCTGCTCTTCCTTCCTAGGGAATGGCTTTTACCCTTGAAGAGAGGCTGCAGTTGGGAATCCACGGCCTGCTTCCTCCTTGCTTCTTGAGCCAAGACGTTCAAGTTCTCCGTGTCCTCAGAAGCTATGAGACCAAATCCAATGATCTAGACAAGTAAGCAGATGAGAGCTGGAGGATGGAATGGGGTGGGGGAAGGAGATTGTGAAATCTGTGACTGAAGCTGACCATTGTGGGATATTCACAGAAAGCAAGTTTGCCCGACTCTGATTGACTCTTGTCGGCTGCCTCTTGTGATGCTGGAGAAGTTTGGAATGAAATTACACAACATCATGCAGTTTGCAGTACAAGATGCTTCTATGCATGAAGAGTAGCAGTGAATCTGTACACTCACATGTCCTCTGTATCCAGCTCAGATACTGTATATGCTTTATGAACAGTCTTCTCAGGCTTGCTTGGGTAGCTCTTGATACATCTCCTTCACATCGAGAGCATTGTCCTGTCAAATCTGTCAAAACAGCCCCTAAAAGCATATATGCACATGTGCATTAGATTCTTGACATCCCTTTGAAGCACCAGCATCCTAAAATTCCACCCTTGGCAACAGAAGTGGCAGCAGAAGTGCCTCGCTTAGCGACGTTAATCCGTTCCAGAAAAAACGTTGCTAAGCGACTTCATCACTAAGTGAAATTAAAAAGCCCATAGAAACGCATTAAAAAGTGATTAATGTGTTCCTATGGGCTTAAAAACTCACCTTAAGTGAAAATCCTCCATAGCGCCGCCATTTTCGCTGCCTCTTAAGCGAGGCAAAACAGCGGGCGGCCATTTTGTTTTTCCAGCAGCCATTTTGAAACCGACGATCAGCTGGCCGAAAATGTGTTTCTTGTATTTTTTAGCCGTGTAACTACTATTATGTGTATCTCTATTTACTATTAATTTCCCAAGTGTATGTTTTTAAGTTTCCTATGCCCATAAAGGTTACCGAATTGAACTACCCTTCCAATCTATATTTCCTCAGCAGAGTTCTGGCCTTCGTGTTTTCTCAGGGTTGTGGAGCATCAAGGAGCTTCTTCATGGTCAGGAAAGTTGCTTTTTTGAATTATTGTATAGGTAATTGTAGTTCTAAAAAGTAACTTCTCCAAGGTTTGCACTAGCCCTTTCCCCCTGTATATCATAAGCTGCAGTCCTGGGTGTGCCTGGAAGTAAATTGCGTCAAACGCTAGAGGACTTCTGAGTAGATATGTATGGGTAACTGCTAACCCACCTGAATATGCCTTAACCTCCAGCCTGATGTACTTCCTTGGACATTGTTCACAACCTTTGAAGTAATCCTTCTTAATTGAGTATCCTGCAGAAAAATGATGCTGCAGCACCCATCATCTCCAGATGGTAGAGCTGCTGTGTGGGACTGGTCTTGTTGTTCAACCATCCGGAAGGCTTCTGGTTGGGGAAGTCTGCTTTGAAAGAGTGTTGTGCAACTCTAAAACTAGCACCTTGTTTTTATAAGAGAGGTAGAGGAAGATTGAGAGCAGGGGAAGCTCATTCAGAGGAAACCTAAGTGCTTTCCCATACTTCCATGTAATCAGCGCATTGGCACAATCAGCGAAGTACTCAGCCCCCGTAATGAAAATATTGAGACGTCCTGATTAAGAGGCTTGAAACTTTTCCAAATCTTGCAGAGAGTCAGCTGAAATGTTACACTTGGCATCAACGGCACCTTTCATCTCCCTCTCACTTATTTTCCAATTATTCCCCCAGATATATCATCTTGATGACCCTTCAAGACCGAAACGAGAAGCTCTTCTACCGAGTTCTCACATCAGACATTGAGAGATTCATGCCAATCGTGTACACTCCTACCGTTGGTCTGGCCTGTCAACAGTATGGGCTAGCTTTCAGGAGACCTCGGTGAGTCAGGGGATCTATTTTAAAAAATTCTCCTTACCCCATCTTTCTGTTCCTTCCCCTGCCCCCACAAACCCACTGAACCTTAATCAGAAATAAATGTACATTTTGTCAGTTGGTACACCTCATGCTATGGGTGGTCCCCCAAGAGGAGGGAAAAGGCGGTCCTTGATTACATGATGTAGTTGTCAAACAGCTTGGATTGTGTTTGTGTTTGTTTAACAACGAGCTGTAGGGGGGGAATTCTTGTGCTTCATCCCCTACAGCAACAAGACAAGAGCGCTTTTGTTCCAGAACTGTACTTCTTTTACGGTCAAGTACAGAAGACTCCCTAAATGCAGCCACAAAATGTCACTGAGATTTCTCACATCAGCCAACTCCTCTGCCAGCTCCATCATTCTTGTGTTGGGCAGCCTTGGACATAAAAGCTATAAGGGCATGGGGGATATGATTTCTGAGCCAAAATACCTTTTTCCTAAGTAAGGAAGGGCTCGAAATAGTCACTTTTTTGGACTACAAATCCCAGAATCCTCCAGTCACCACAGGGAATGCTGATCCTAAAGAAAATAGAAAAAGCAACTTTCCTGGTGCTTGGTGGCAAAGTAGACTTGGCAAAGACTAAGTAAGTGAGAGAAGAGAATAAGGCAAAATTGGCAAATAAACACAAACAAGCTGGTTTAGGACAGTCAGAGGCCTTGCAGCTAGAAGAGTTGAGTGGTCTGTTGATGGGCTAGATAACTAGGACTTTCTGGCACCTGCCTGTTACTCATTAAGGAGAAAAAGGCTTGTATGCATAAAAATAATGACTGCGTGTCATCAAGGCAATTCCAGCTTGTGGCAATCCCCCCCCCAAGTGTTTCCCACGTATAGAGTACGCCACTTCTGTCTACCATTCCCTTCTTGTAGGCTTGTCCCGGGGTTGTGCTGCTTGCCCAGGGCTACACAGGCTGGCTCCTCCTAAGAGGCACAGTGGGGAATTGAATTCCCAACCTCTGTCTCTGTTGGTGTAAGTTAGCAGAGTTTTGTTTCGGTCCAGGCCGTCCAGTTGAATGACACAGACAAAGACAGCTTCTTCCAACACCAAGTGTATTTACAGTATATACAGAAGTTCAGCAGTACAGACCAGCAGCATAACAGCATGACATTCATAGAAGAGATCCATACATCTTCTCCACATGTCCACACAGTTATACACATGCACAGCCAATCAGTGTGGACATTGCATCATCCCAGACTGCATGATTCAGCATTTTGCACACTTGTCAAGTATGGCTGCTGATTATCACGGGCCTTGTTCTGCTTCAGTGTGGACAGTCTCCGCCACCAAGTACCCAACTCACTGAGATATTCATCCAGCTCCTATGTGCATACAGGTCTTCTTTGCATTTGGAAATCCTCAACTGGCCATAGTCCTTGACTGTAAGAAGCTGCCGCATATATGTAAGGCTCTCTGTCATTAATTCTGAATCTCAGCTGTGACAAGGAATATCTGTACGAGCCTCTAGGAATCCCAACTTTCAGCTTTACGATCCTGTAGGAGAAGTGTGGCTTAGGCCGAGAAAACCTGATCGATCTGAAATCGGCTTCTTGGTTGAGTGAGCTGAAGCTGAGTCTCCCCAATAAATCTAATGCACCACACTAGCTAACATATAAAGAGGAAAAGCGCACAACTGGTGGCCTCCAGATGTTGCTGGATGGCAAACTCAACCAATGATGAGGGACAATGTGAGTTACAGTCCAAAGCATCTGGAGGGATGCATGTGGTCCACTCTGATCTATTGTTCTGAATATTGTAGTGCAGTGTTCCCCAACCTTGGGCCTCCAGATGTTCTTGGACTACAACTCCCAGCTCTCTCCCAGAAGCCTTCACCACCACCTCTGCTGGCCAGGATTTCTGGGAGTTGAAGCCCAAGACCATCTGGAGGCCCAAGGTTGGGGACGACTGTTGTAGTGCATTCCTATTGATGACAGCAAGTGTAGGTGTGACGGACAGGTCAGGAACCACTCCTGTCCATCACAGTGGAACCCTGATTCAGGAGCCAATGGCTGTACAGAAAAGGCGGGACTAAGGATATATAAGAGAATGGAAGTCAGTTAAAGAGCAATTAGAGTTAAGGATTTCAGTTAGAGAGTTAGGGTTGAGTTAGGGACCTCAGCTAGAGAGATGCAGTTTTGGCAGTTAGGACCAGCCTGGTGTTAGAGAAGAATAGAGAGATAGAGAATAAGATGTGAAATGACTAAATACTTGGATTAACATGATTCTATCTAAGCAAATATGTTATAAAAGCACAGTTGATTGCATGAATAAAATAAGACCATCCATGATTTACTTGTGAACACTTTAATAAACATTGTTTAATTGAATAACACTGATTGAAGAGTCCTATTTGATGTGGTGAGGAATATTACCTCTGGTGGCAGCGGAAAAGGATTGAAAATTAAATGTCACACCCAAAAGTGAACCTGGGTTGTGTGGAGAAACAAACAGGGGAACGGGTGCGTGGCAGTAGGTAGCCTAGTGGGTTGTGGGGAGAAACAAACAGGGGAACGGGTGCGTGACAGTAGGTAACCTATGGTAGTGGCTAGACTTCAATGTGTTTGCATGGAATCCTTCACCAAATATCAAAAGCCTTCTAGCAGTGGTAGGTTCAAGCCTTTTCGAGTATGATCTGCCCCTGTTCCCAGAGCATTTTCCACCCATAGTCTCCATACCTGGTTAATGGACAATACGGGTGTCTGTTTCCTTGGTATCTCTCTTCTCCCTGTCCTCATTCCATCTTCTTTGTTTGCGTCTGTTGGACTGCAGTTGACACCAAATGTTTGCAAAACGGGTGTGGAAGAAGTTCATTGAGAACACAAAACAAATTGATACATGTTTCGAGGGAGTCTGCACTTTGTCAAAGGATATAATTGAAAACAAATTGTAAAAATAAGGCCACACGCTGCACCAGAGCGTGGATGTTATTTGTGTCAACTCTCCAGAATCACGGGTGAAAAGTAATTCATTTTGTCATACAAAACTAAGCCACAAAGAAATGTGGCTAAACTGCAGTTTCTTGGATGACAACAGATAAACACTGTAAGATGCACATATTTTCCAAATGTTTAAAATCTATACAAAACATACTTATTAGCTTTCCAAAAGGAAGGAAGGAAGGAAGGAAGGAAGGAAGGAAGGAAGGAAGGAAGGAAGGAAGTTAGGA